GTGAGTACCTTCTTCCACAGCAAATTGAAACACAAGGGCACGGAGCTTCACGGCAAATCGCGGGAACTTCCATTCCACCCAGTTCCCTGCCTCCACGGTCTCGACATCAAACTGAGATGCCACATTCGCTAGGCTCCAGAAAGATACTCCACTGTGGACGACATTCACCCAGTTTGAAAGGAGTAGCCTTTGAGAAAAGACTCCATGTTGTTTCTCGCAGCGCAGCCTGAGAGTATAAAGCACATTATTGGTATACACACTGCGAACTCTCTTCAATCTGACAGACTGACAGAATCCGAGCTCGGGCATCAACACCATGGCTTTGACCTTTTCTGCCGGAACGTTCTTCAAGCATACGTACTTTTGGATGAGGTCCAGTTTGCTTCTGCAACCTTCCTCAGCTTCCTTCCACCTCAGGAGAAGATCCAGCAGCTCTTCATCGGAAATGCACAGGAAGTTAGAACTCAGCACGTCGTGCAACAACTCGTCACTCACGGCCGGTCGTTCCTCCAATGCCGTATTCGCTTCGACGAGGATGGCATGCGTGGCTGATTCCCGGAGAGCTGACAGCTGAAAGCTGTCTGCAGCCATGAGAACTTCCCAAGCGGTCTTTGCACTGAGTTGCAGCTTCAAAACATGACTGCCTTGGCAGTTTTGTGGATAGAAGATTGGAGCGTTCTGTGATGGTTTGCTTGGACACATACCTGCCGCAAATAGAAGCTCACACCACATGTTTCAAGGGCGGTTGGAGTGTACTACCTACCTGGACACTCGAAAGTAATTTGAAAATGGGACATGACTCGACCACCAAAACATCATCTAACAACCAATGGCAGGTACTTGTAATGTGTATATAATTTGTACCCATTTTCTGGGGTGCTTTGAGACTTGAGAATCTTCCGGATCCACTGCTCTGTTCTTTCCGATTGTGCCTCATCTCCCGACAACATGTTCCGTTGTTTTATCTGGTGAAAGTGGATGAATTTCAACAGAATAAAACTAGTTGGGGCTCGAAAAAGGCTCCGACTCCCTCCCACAAATCCAAATGGCAATACATACTGCCAAACAAAGAAGCAACGTGCACATCCGGGTTCAGGGTCCAAAACGGCAGAAACAATGGCTTGAGAGCTCTTTCACCTGGTACTTATCAGCTATCACCATGACCTCCACAAGTGTTTGCAGGTCGACTTCCAAAGTGCCAGAGTACAGGAAGTGCAAGAATGCCTCCATGCCAAGAAGTCCTTGATGACCTTGGCAAAGCGCAAATCTCAAACTCGCCAAACTAACGAGCCTGCAACACAAAGAAACAGTTTGAATCTGAGGTTGGAGAGTTCCCAAATGAACTGGTGAAACGGATCTGCTTTCAGAGGATATGGCTTCCGCCCTACGCCCTACGCATCCGGAAACACGGACCTCAAGGGCCCGACATCGAGTTTGCGGTTTGGCTATATACGGCCCATCCAACCCTCACATACACACCACAGTAGAATCTTAAACTTCCTGCAAGGAGGTCCTACTTGATCCGGCTCCGCCCTTGAATGATCCTCCGATGAGCATCATTGTCAAATATGGTCAACCCTTTGCAAAGGTTTTTGTTGCAAGCGAGAAAATCGATTATAATTCACCGACACAGTTCTGCAGGTGTTTGCCGGCTCCCGACAAAAAGGGGGGCCACTGCATCTCATCGGGCCAGCTGCATGCAGGTGACGACTTGCCTTTGCGTGTGCTCCTTGAAGTCGTGGTTCATCATCTTGTCAAAGACTTCAGACCAAGACGACAAGATCACCGAGGAGACCTCCAGAAAACACGGCCGGCTGAGATGAACCGAACATGTCCCTCCGGGAAACGCCCTCTAGAACGTACAATACCTCCCAGGATCATCCTGTCTGGGTGCCCAATAGACTACCCTACCCTACTTATAGGTCTCCACGGTGCGCCCATTGGAAGTGCTATAGGTCTGTTTTTAAGAACCATCCCAAACACTCCATGTATGCCATATATGCCTACACTGGGGTGGTTTGAGGGGTCAATGGGGCGGCATATATGACAAACATGGAGTGTCTGGGCATAGCAAATGGCATCAAACAAATGTCCCCTTAAACCCGTTCGGCCAGTCCTTTCGGCTCGTCCTTTCGGCTCAGCCGCCGCTCGCGTCCGACCAAAACCCTGACCGAGCGCCACCCGCTGAGACCGGAAAAAACCGTTTGGGCTCCAACGACCTCCGTTTCGAAAATGGTTGGGCGGGGGTTGGGGGGTCGAGCCACCTTCTGAGGATATGGGCCTGGAGCTCCTATAGGGAGAGTTCAACCTCGTTGTTCTTCCAGCTAGAGCCCCACCTTGAACTCCGTCCGCGTCTGGTCTGCCGCTTCCACCAGCACGCTAAAGCTGCCGGTCTTTCCGAAGGAGCTGGCCAGCTTGTCCGTGACCTTGGCTGAGGAAAACGACCAAGATCACCCCCAGTGTCCGTTGTTATCCACGGTGTCCTGGTTGTGTGTTAAAAGTTCAAACTATAGGGACCTAGAACTCATTTGACCTCTGTTTTGATAGGAAAACACATGATTTTGAGTGGTTGGTGGTCCAAACTAGAGGTCATTCAGGTTCTAGGGAATTCTCGCTTTGATGGCATCAACACAAGTGCCCGGTCGGGCACCCTTCGCGCCACCGTTCCATGACACTGGCGCATGAGACGAAGCGGTTGCAACGCTTGATAGGTCAGGTGGTCTTGTGCTCCAAGCTTCGCAGATGCTAGTTGGCAATGGGTCAAAACGCACCCGGATCCCCAAACCACCTCAGGGTAGGTTGACCTCCTTAGTGGTTGGCCCACGGCACATAGACGGCCGTGGGCTTTTCTTGCATTGTTGGTGATTTTTCGTTTTCTACAGTGCTACGTGTGGGAATGGGGTGGGGTGGGGTGGGGTGGGCTGGGGCATGTCAACGTTCGGTTGCACTTGCTACGTGAAGTTGATACTATACGTGTGCGAATGGGTTGGGGTGGGGTGGGGTGGGCTTGGCGACAAAGCTTGACCTGTGCCACACCGGCTCAGTTCTTGCGCCGCTTGGAGGAGCTCCTGTAAAGAGTGAAAAAGTCGCACACATGTCCGACGCCAAAAGTAGTTGCGTAGTTTCGAACATGCTTCGAAATCACCATTTCGCCTCAGCCAAACTCTGATTTTATCCAAATCTGCATGGAATTCACCATGATTCCAATGATGAAGTGTCGCTCACATCATTCCAAATGGAATTACGCATATTTGGACTTGATTACCCCACGACCATCCTTGATTACCCCACAGCCGTCTATGCGCCGTGGACCTAGTTAGTAGTCCATTCTGTGCATTTGTCTCTGGTCAAACAAGGTCTCCGGTGTTGACCCACCCCCAGCTCAAAGTGATGTCGCATGGAGTTTCACAGCAGATGCTACTTGCCTGCTCGCTTCAATATGATTTCTGGAAAACACTTTAGAAGAGTGCCTGCAGACGCAACACATTTGCTTCGCGCTGACTTTCTGGCCGTATCAAACAGGCAAGTGTGGTTTTACATTTGTACAAACACAAACAACCCAAACACGACCCCTGTTTTGATAGGACAGCTGGCCCTATTTGGGGCGCGTGCTGGTCCAAGCTAGAGGTCACCCAACCAGGTAATGTCAGGTATACACCCTTCAGTTATCCACCAAACCTTTATAAGTCATAGATTATGCACAGCAAAGAAATTGCTTGCGTCCATTAAAAGAAGAACCAAGAAACCCAATCCTTCTTTGTGCTATCTTTGACAACACCGTCTTTGTGCGTTCGCAGTGAGGAAGGCCGACTGCTATCCTTCACCATGGCTATCCTTCACCATGGCCATTGCACCGAACGGCGGTAAAGCCAAAAACTGGCCAGATCAAAGATCAAACACGTGTCTTTGCTCAAAAAAGAGTCTCCAAACAAGACATTTTGAAGAGGATGATGATGATCTCATGTCACTCATCTTACTCATGTGGAAAGTTCTGCGAACTCAGCTGCTACCTCAGGAAGCTCATCCGAGAAGGAATCGCATTCAAGACCATCCATTTGCGCATGACTGGCATGACATCTCCAGGCCATGCCAGCATGAAGTCATGTCTCGCGAACGTAGATACAGTATGCGAACGTGCGATATGAATGGTTGCGGTGGCAGCAACAGCAATCATCCAAACTCAATGTGTGTTTTCTTGGAAAGATAAACGATAAACGGCGTTCATCTTGGAAGACACAAACAAAAATCTTGACTCCCCTCATTGGCCCAAAGATCCTCCACCACGTACGGACGTGCAACATGTGTCTCTTCGGACCGATCATGACCGATGCATTACACACATTTACGGAAGAAGCCTCCGTTACAAAAAACAAAAAACACACATTCCTGGCAACTGCCCATGTAAGCAACATTTAATAGGGTAGTATCGGTGTAGATATCAGTAGTATCTATGGCTCCAGCTGTTCCCTTCGGCCGAGTGGCTAAGCAGCTCCCGTTCTCGGGTTGTATGGATCACATATCCTTCATTCCCTAAGTCTACTACCCAATATACTCTCCCCCAAGAAAATGAGCTGGGGCGTCCCGATTTTGTGATAGAGCTGCAGGAGTGGCGGATCTTTCAACTCAGCTAAAACCAAAAAAAATGACGAACAAGCACCAACAAGGAATGGACATCGTGGGGTCCTATAGCGGATCTAGCACCCTGGTACCTCGCTGAAAAATGATTTGGTCCGGTGGCCTATGGACCCTATGGTGGAATGGCACCCAATATAGACTGCTTACCTCAAGTTGCACAAGCGGTTTTGAGGGTCCATAGTTCGTTTTCAGCGGGTAATTCGAACCTTTGGCGCACCCCTGTCCACTTTGGCTCTGACTCAGTCAGACTGGCCCTGAACGTGGCGGTGAACGTGACGGAAGCCCAAGCAGTCTGAAAACAACAGCACCACACAAACCGTAGGAATCCAATGGTCGAATTGCCCATCCGCGTGTGAACTCCAGGCCTGTTGCAGCGCAAGGCGCAGGTTGAACGCCGCCTGAAAGGAGGGGGCAACATGGTGGCAGCTGCTAGTAATGGATCGCTACAAAGAGCAAAACAAGCTCCTGGTGCAACTTTTCTTTCAGTGCACTCTCTTCAATTTTCACCTGTTCACTTGAAAACCATGAGGCTTGACGACCTTTTTTCATAGAAGCCTCAAACCCCCAAAACGAAGCACGGGCGCCCGACCACCAGACACCGATCCGTGAGACCACCAGACGAAGGTTTGATGGATCGGTTGCGGTCTGAGTCGCCGGGTTGCCGGGTTACCACTCTGGGTACCAACCTAATTAAGTCTTAAGCCAGGACCTTCCCAGTGACCATTTTGGAGTCCCATCCAGTGACCGAACTTACAAGCCTACTAAGTGACCGAACCAACCAGGGTTGTAACTACACTTGGGGATAACCAACCAGTAGTAAAAGGCCATCTACGCTTTTGGTTGCAAGGGTCGTTTTTTAAGCAAAAGCCTTGTTGTCAATCACGGATGCTGAAAGACACATATAGTTTGTGGAGTTTCAGCAATTACTTGCTTAGCGACAAACCACCAGAATGATCAACAAAGTGTTTCTGTTGTTGTTCTTCCCTCCAGCCCCAGAGGCTCACCAGCTCACCAGCTCACTGGATGAAAACACCATCCACCCAGAATCCAAAGGCATTCCGTCAACCTATTTTCCATGCACAGCAACTTGCCTGCTTTGGCATAGAAAACAGCCTGCTTTCAAAACTAATCGATCTGTGCCCACTGGGCATATCGGAAGGAACACATCCATCACTGGGCCTCATTGATTAAATCGCAATCATGCCGAAGAAATCCGTCAAAGGTGAAACTGCACACATCAAAAGTTCCTGCCGTCACCTCCACCAAGAAACATGTTGCAACAAAGTCGCATTTGCACAGGAACACCTGGCCCTCACAGATTTGACCATGTTCCTCAGAACGGAACACTTGTTGCATACTGCCTGAGCTGTCCTGGTTGCCACACGACACGATGAAGTGAGCACCTTCTGCCACATCTTCAATAAACCGGATGGCCACCAGCTTCACTGCAAAGTGAGGAAATCTCCACTCCACCCAATTTCCTGCGGCCAGTTCCTCCGTCGTGTTTTGACAGGCCAGATCATTCAAACCACCAGTGATAATGGCGCCCTCGCTGTGGGCGACACTCACCCAGTCTGATCGGAAAACATTGTGCCATTTGTCCCCATGCTGACCCTCACAGTGCTCTTGTAGACTATAAAGTACATCCTCGGTATGCTCACTGCGAATGGTCTTCGATTTGACAGACTTGAAGAATCCAAACTCAGGCATCAACACCATGGCTTTGATCTTGTCTGCCGGAATGCACTTCAAGCAAACGTACTTCCCAACGAGGTCCATTCTGCTTGCGCAACCTTCATCAGCTTCCTTCCAGGTCATGAGAAGATCCAGCAGCTCTTCATCGGAAATGCACAAGAAGCCACAACCCAGCACTTCGTGCAACAACTCGTCACTCACCGCCGGGCGTTCTTCCAAAGCCACCTTTGGTTGCATCAGCAAGGCACGCATTGCCACTTCTCGGAGGTCTTGAAGCCGGAAATGGTCTGCAGCTTTGATGATTTCCCAAGCAGTCTTTGCACTTTCACTGAGCTGAAGTTGGAGGAGATCATGGCCTTGCTTTGCAAAAGTCATTTTCGGACCACTGAAAGTCATCAGGGCCACGCGCAAAAAAGTATAGAAACCGTGGGATCTGCCGTTCACACAATTATTCTGTATGGCGGTCTTCATCCGACGTCATTCCCACACACAGGCATAATCTAAAACCACAAACAAAATGGACCAAAGGACCAAGCGAAGCGGCAATGTTTTGAAAGCTCTTTCACGTGGTACTTGTCAGCAATGGCCATGACCTCCACAATCGTTTGAATATCCACATCCAAGGTGCCCGAGTAGAGGAAACGCAAGAAGGTCTCCATGCCATGCGGTGAGAAGTCTTTAATGACCTTAGATCAGCAAACCCAACTCACCCACCTGGTGTTGCCCTCAGAGTTGCACAAATCACTGAGATGTTATACTATGACATATATCTTAAGGAAAAGGGCAAGGCTCATGTGCAACATGATTGCAACATAGTAATAGTGCTGCTTGTCAAAGATGCGACACAAACTGCAGTAACCCAAAATCCCTAAGTCTTTTTAGGCGTCACTAAAAAACATAATTTAATCTTTGGTTCCACCTGGACCTTTGTTTCTTTGGTGACAAAACCAAAGCCCAACAATGCTGTGGAAGTGAATGACTTTCCTGGGCCTCACATGTCCATGACAGCAGCCTTCACTGCTTGCCATCTGCCCAACTCCATGCAAGTGACGACTTCCTTTTGCGTGTGCTCCTTGAAGTCGTGGTTCATCATCTTGTCAAAGACTTCAGACCAAGAAGACAAGATCACCGAGGAGACCTCCAAAACATGGCAGCTGAGCATGCAAAGAGAAACGTTGCACGGAATATTTAGACATTTATCTTTGCAAGGCAGGAGGTAGCATAGAGATCTGAAGAATGGTTGCACGGAACCACCCCACCACAAGCTCCAAGTTTGGGATGCCAATTCCTCTAGTTCTCCCCTTGAATACAAGTTCACAGCAAGGTCCACGGAGGTCTTTAAAAGGAGCCAACAAGCATTTCAATGCTCAGGAGATCTGGTTGTACCAGTAGCATATGGGTCCATGAGAAAACCTTGAGGAACATCTTAAAGAGTAGGGCCCTAAAGGCGCTTCGAGATCGAAAGTGCGATTTCGCTGGTCCGAGTCCGAGTGTGGCACTAAGTCCGAGCGCTCCACGGGTTTCCGCGGACTTTAATAGAGAGCAGATTGTAAACTGGCTCTTCTATTAAGCGTCTCTCACCTTGAACTCCGTGCGCGTCCCATCTGAAGCTTCCACCACCACCGCAAAGCTGCCCGTCTTTCTGAAGGAGCTGGAGAGCTTCTCAGCGACCTGAGATAAGTTGAGAGAACACATCGAGTAGGATCAACAACTGCTGGTGGTATCTTAAGAACATCAGGGGAAGCTATTGAAGCTATATATGATATGTATCATATGTTTCTGCCAGTGGACTTGCAACAAACACAAGCAAACAACTGTTCAACTTGAAACAAGTCCCAAGAAACCCACTCTGCCCATAGCTGCTGTGTTCTATCCTTCACCATGACTACCAATCGGCTCCGACCCGGATCTGAGCTTTTCGGAGGTTCGACTGGAGCCGAGACGGCAAAGCAAGCGGCTGTCTACCGGGCACCACCAAGGGAAAACAACCAAAGAAAGACCACATCAGAATGAATGATCCATATATTATGTTGATTATATATATTATATATATATGGTATCATATAAGATCTAATATGGTATGTAGATTATACAACGTGCTTAATGGTTTGCAAAATGGTTGGAATGTGAGTTTTAATTAGTTTAGTTCCAAAGGCCTTTGGGGATGATCATTGCATAGTACAGTATAGGATGTAATAGGTGAATCCACTTGGAAGTTCATTGGATTCGGGTGGGGGACAAATTTTGTCGTTTCCATCCAACTGTGCAGACAGACTATATCGGTGCTCAGCTTCCACTCGCTGACACCTGCAACACAACACCACAATATTGTGTGATCATGTGAACGGGCAGTGTTCTTTGTGAACCATTGTCCACTGTCCGCTCAGATTTTATTGTTGAAGACTAAAGAAACCAATGCCCTAAAAGTGCTTAGAAACAAGTGACAAGGTTTCCACTCTTTTACAGTGGTTTCAGAGTAGATGGCACAAACCCCTATATGTCTTTTAGATGGGGGTCCATATAAACCACCTTTTGGGAATTGTGCCATCTACTCTGAAACCATTGTACAAGGATATGGTTGAAGTCTGGCAAAGCAGGTCATCGAACTGGGCCCTCCATGGCGGATCCCAGCGGGTGATCGTGGATTTGATGGGCCGGCTAACCGGCTAGCTAAGTCCAAACAGTTGTGGAATGTTCTGGAAACACAAGCACCACGCAAACCAAAGGAACAACCGCCTGGTCAAATTGCACGTCCGCATGTGAACTCCAGGCCTGTTGCAGCGCAAGGCGCAGGCTGCACGCTGCCTGAAAGGGGGGGGCAACATGGTGGCAGCTGCTGGTAATGGATCGCTATAAAAAGCAAAGCACATGCTCCTGGTGATTGCTTACATTAGCAGCTTAGTGTGGGAGAAACAACTGCTACTGGCGTAATTATACTCTTCCCCTTAATTCTCACCTGTTCAGTTTTGACTACCTTTTGTGTCAAGGCCTGAAACAAAACCGCTGTTACAGAGCGGCTTTCTCACTGAGAAACTGGAGTGCGACAGTCTGGGTGAGCGTGGTCTTAATTTATCCATGGGGAGTGTGACTGGATAGCCGTGCAGTTGGTTGGAAGAGTACATCTCCAAACAAAGAGCATTGCTGTCAGATAAATGATGAGTTATGACTTGCGTTATGTTATGTTGCATTTAGATGCTCTTGGGTTTAATGCCGCCATCGAAACTCCCGAGGTCTTCGATCAAACATGTTGATGTTCATATACAGTGTATATATACACCAGGACCTTCAGTACGTGACCTCTTTGGAGTCTCTAAGTGACCTCTTTAGGGACTAAGTGACCTCATTCTAGGATATCAAAAGGTCACTTTGAAGGTCCTGGCATATGTGTCTTTCATACAAGCCATAGTATTTCTGCCTAAAGGTAGACTTGGGATCCACTCCAGTCTAGGGCACGGTGACCTCCCGGCCCCGCCTGGAATTCGGCGCGAGAACCGGCACGAGAACGCCATGGGCGGTTCGATCGGTGGAAGCTGGTGGCTTTGGGGGTTCTGGTCAATGATTATATATACCTATAGATACCTATAGTACATATACCATCATAGACCTAAAGAAGTCTAGAACCCAATACCACATATGAAGGTGCCATGTAGGTCCGAGGCTCTACAGGTTCAGTACTCTTGCAGCCCACAGCCTTCACATCCATGTTGTGAAGTAGCTTAAACTTCTCCCATCGTCTGAACACATTGCAATTCGAACATCATCCATTCAAACAATCACATGTGGCACATCAGCTCTCATAGACGATCTACGATAAAATGGTCTTCTTTAGCTGGCTTGACGCGAAAGCCTGAGAACAATAGAATACACACAGGCTCGGCACACTAAGCCTTGTGTATTCCGAATTCGCAAGCCGCCCACGGCCACATGGCTCCACGAGGCAGTTGACTGACGCTTTCCGCTGAGTTGACCCACCCGCTGCCAGTTGACCCATTCGTTGGCCGGGAAACGGGACACATGAAACCAACCACGAAGGAGAGGCCGAGATGCAAACAAAGAATCTGACATGTGTTTAGGCTTAGGCTAAATATAAAGAAAGAACACAACTCGTCATTGAACAACTGTGCCACAGAAAATTGCCCCAACGCATAAAACTTCAGGTTCAGGCGCTTGGGACTCACTCACTCTAGAGGTCTTCGTGTGGCCAAAAGAATCAGAATAGCAAAGCTCGCGTTCGAACCTCTCCAGAGAACAAGATCCGACTCACTCATCGACGAAAACATCGGAAGTGGACAAATACCCGGCTCCTGTTTCAAAGTCACACGGTATCATGGGGGTCTCCTCTATATAGGAGCCCTATATAGGGATTAGAATATTTACCCATATAGATACCATAATATCACATGCCTGTTTCATCCTGTTTCATACCCTAGGCCTGCCTATATCCTCAGGTTCGGTGGTCTTCGACCCCCAAAACCACACCCACCCCAGTCCATGGAGGGGGCGGCCAGAACCATTCCCAGACACTCCATGGGACTGCCATATATGATATATCATATATGCCTACATTGGGGTGGTTTTGGGGGTCAATGGAGTCATATATGGCATACCTGGAGTGTCTGGGATTGGTCTTCCAAAGGACCATTTTCCACTTCCATGTCAGTGAGTCGGAGGGTACAAATTGCTTCTGTGTCACCTACATCTTCAAGCGATGGCGGGTTGAACCAGAAACGGTACACAAGGAAGAATATTGCCAGTTGGAGTTTGCTTTGAACCAGAAACCAGTTGGTTGATCTCCCCATGTTCTTCTCTCAACTGCTTGCTTAAACGCTGAACATAGCTACTTTCCTGCATGATTCTCGCAGAACCATTGCATGACTTGAGGTTCTTCAGCTGCTCCAACCCTTGGTGCCCAGCGTGTGTGTGGTCGACATCGTTGCCGGGATTGCCTGGCGTCGGCACGGACGCGTCTACGTCTGTGTGGGTCCTCCTTCGACTTGTTCCAGGACGGTCGCGAGAGTAAAAATGGGGTTGTTGAAAAAGAAAAAACACATGAATACACAACAGATCACAAAAGTAAGTAGCGTCATGTCTTTAAAACATGAATACTTAAACGATCCTAAAAGTAATGACATGTGGAATGTGTTCTTCCAACAATTGTGTTCATGCAAGGCCCGGTGTTCTTTTGCGAAGGCCAGTCTCTTCAATGTTCGGGCCGATGTACCCGTTGGAGACGCGATTGCTGCCCAAAGAACCTCTCACCCTCCCTGAACCCTCGCCTCAAACATGTCAAAAGACAAGCACCTTTGATGAGGAATGATGAGGATATACCAGGCCAAGTCCAGAACCTTACACAGGTATGAAAACAGATTGGATTGAAACCACACAAAAACTATAGCATACTATAGCCACTCTCCCCACCTGGTCTGGCCACTAGCCACAACCTCTGCCAGCCCTGCCCTGCCCTGCGGATCCCTCCCTGCGGCGTCTGCGGCGCTCCTGCGGCTGGAACGCCTGAATCCACCTCCGTCCCGCGGTCACGCGCATGGCAATAGACGTCGTACCTGGTGCAGGTGGGGTGGGAGGAGGGCGCGTTTTGGTGCAGAAGTGGCTGCAGTGGCGGCCCTGGATTCCATGAAACAGAAGTATAGGTATCTATAGCTGCTAGCTCTCAAAGCAAACTTGTTCGTCCAACGCAAGGGTTTGGGTTACTGAAACGAGTACGAGTTTTGTTGCTCCACTCGAGGATTTTAGATGAACAAGGACGTAGTGGTTTGTGAAAGGAACACCAACAAACAGAATTCGTCCAGAGTCCAAAGCTAGTTTCTTGTGTGAGGGACAATCACTTGGCATCGCATGTCATGATCGATGAGCCTGCATACAGCTTTGGAATGCTTTCTATACACATGCTCCAACAGCGCCGCAAAATCAAACAAGATGTCTTCTTTCTTCTTTGAACTCAAAGAACTTACCCAAACCATCCAAGCAAGGTCACTTGGAACCTCCGCAAGTTGCACACACCTAATGATCCTCACATTCCTCACATTTGCTGCAGCCGCTTCGGGGTTCTCAGCCACTTCCCCAACGGCCGTGGCCGCCACGTTCTTCGTTTTCTTCGCCGCTTTGGCCCAGTCGACTCTCTCCGACAAAGCTTGGACGAGCATGGGCCGGTGGAGCTTCGACGAGCGCAGCTCCAGGACTCAGTCTCTCCAGCTGCATGTGCTGCGCATGCTGTCAGAGGTACCAGGTACCGATGCTCATCCTACGATCCACAAAAAGAACAACATGATGTATAAACGTGGATGTTGAACATGGAGTAATTATCCCACTACAACCAGGAGTTTAGACATGTTTAGACCATGGCGCACATCTTTAGGACTTGGCTCCATCTGATGAAAGGTTTGTCCGACCTTTATTCGACGTGATTCCTGCTGAATCATCACTTTCAATTGTGAAACCTCACCCGTGGTCCTGGATGTCTACACACCCGAACTCACGACGACACCCAAAACCAGTCTCCAACCTTCTCGTGCTGCTTTCGACTGACCCCCTGGAACAAGGTTCTTGGACCTCTTAGAGATAGCTTCTACAGCTGGTCAGGTCTCTGGAGCTGCACGTGGATCTAGCGACGGTCATGGCAGAAAATGAAACAGCGAGGTGGCCGGATCACCTGCGAACTGACCTCGGATCCTCTCCCAGGTGATCTGGTGTGGCATCTTCAAATGGCCTGCCAAGTCCGCTAATCCGAACCGGAGGAGGTTTGTATCCGTAGGGCTCCAAGTACCTTCTGAGAAGGTGTTTGGGGTGGGTTTGGAGAGTCCAAATACCTTCTGAGGAGGCACTTGGAGCCCTAGGGTATTGGATGCTCTGTAGATATCGTTTGGGTCTATCCTATTTGGGGTCTATCCTACCAGCAACAGTGGATGATGATGCTTAGGGAAGACCTTCTTTGAAAAATCGTGATAATTGTGTACTGACTGTTGCAGGCAATAGGAAAAACCCAATCTATATAGGTAAGCTTGAATGAGAAAAGGAACAAAGCAAGTCTGTCACTGACTTCAGCAAGGTCCAAATCCCCGGTGACAGCGTGGCAGTTTTGCCGCTATATACATCTAGATCGGATTTTCAGTAAGATCAAGCCTGCCGCAAAAAGGTTCCATGAACAAAACCGCCCAATATAAGGGGTTGAAGGATCATCAACAGCCTGCATTGAGGTGTCAACATGGATTCTGGACACTAGAAGTTCATGACGAACGACCGGAACTGCATCTTGCCCAGAGTTACCCTGTTTGGGAGCCCCAACATGGTGTTGTTCATGCCGTTTCCCATTGAAAGCACGGGTCAAACGGTTCGAGAATGCTCCAAATACATCTAGAAACAGGTGGTGACGCTGAAAACGCTGAACACTCCAACATGCAGCAGCAGGATAGAGGCTTTGTTTGGACTCACGACCATCGGTGAGCTGCTATAGATGCGTCACCTACGGGGTCTTCTTGCGTCACTGTCTACTGGCCCCTGTCTCATGGCGACTAGGTGAATCCACTTTTGTTCAAGAAAGAGCCCACACGTGAGTCCGGAGGTCCAATTGCAAGCCTTCCTGTTGGAGCATGTGCCAAAGGCATTCAAATTGACCGTCGCCCACCGAGATAGCTCTTACGAAGAAAAGGAAGAAGAGGAGGAAGAGCCGAGCATTGCAGCAAACAGTTCTCAAGATGAGGCTGCAAATTCAAACCCTCATGAGTCATGAGCCTCATGGTCGTTCATCATGAGCCTGATGGTCCACGTAAGCCATCAATATAGTCGTTGTCATTCGTGTCATTTAGCATCCACCCCGAAACAAAGCATCAGTTCTCCATCTATTAATCCATACCTCTCCAAAGCCAGCGACCAACGACCAGTCTTTTTCAGGAGACCCACTGCACTGCCTACTCCACGGCAGTGTAGCTGCGACAGCAGGAAGAACTCACCTGGACACAAAGGGGCACAAGAGCAGATCTACCGGTTGCTTCCTGTCAGGGCCACCAATGGACAACCCCTGCACTACTCAGACAGGACACCCAGACAGGAAGCACTAGGTAGGATGCATCCCTTACGAACGGTGTCTGATGGTGGTCTACCATTTGCATATTTCTTTGATGAAGTGTGCCTTGGGTCATTTAAAGTCCCTCTATCGGCTGGTAAAAGGAAGATTAGACCAAACCCTGCAAGTGCTTCTTCTTCTTCTTCTTGGTGCACTCAGCTTGGGAGCTCGCGCATCATCTGTGAGCGGTCAGGGTCATGATCCAAATATATGTCCAAACAAAACCAAGTAACACCATTCTTGGTGCACTTCCAACAACCAAATATTTCGCTGCCCTTGTCTAAGACTGACACAAACAAATAAAGTTAGGAAGTGGGATTGTTGGGAAGGGCGCCTGAGCGCAAATGCCAAAACCCAATGGAACACCCACCTGTTGGGCCAAAAACAAAGGATTCTTCTAGATTCCAGAGTTGAATGAAAGTTCTGGGCACGCTCTCGTCCATAGCTCCTCTGTCCTCTCCCAGCAATGTTCTTCAACAGGCGAAGATTCCAGAAGTCTCCCACCATGAACATCATTTAAAAGAGCTTCCAATGACTCATGAACTACCCCACCTGGAAGTCTCACCACTACCGGTTACCAGGCCAAGACCATCTCTCCCAAGGCCATCACCGGTCGCCACTCGCCGTCACTCGCCTGCCACTCGGCACCCGCCATGGTGGCTTCGATCTCCGCCACGGTGCGGGGGACGCAGGTCAAGACCCGACAGCCATCCTTTGTGATCACCACCTGGGCGCAAAGCCAAGTGCTCTCTCCAACCAACTTCTTGATCAGAGCCAAGGACCTGAAGATCACCAAGGACCCGAAGATATGAAGCTATCACAAGTTCTTAGATCCTTGATGATTATTTGCTATGGCCATCTCAGGACCCGAATCAAATCATCATCGAACAAAAAAACATGCTCCAGCTTGGTCGTGACTCGTGCCCTAAACGACCTGAAGTCCCTTTGCTCGTCAAGGCCTTTTTTGGGCTCCGTGACCGACTCCCTGCCCTGCCCTTCGGTCCTTTTGGGTGGGCGTGCGTGGCTTGATGTGGCTTGCGAACACTCCAGCAGCCTACTGGTGCCGTGGCTCGCCAACGGCCCAAGGAGTCCGGTCTTGGGCGCCTCCGCACCGATGCGAAGGGCGGAGTCCTGGGCCGCCCCCACGTCGTCCTCGATGCGCACGCCGCCCACCGAGGACCAAAAGTCATGGAGCCGATCCTCCAGACACGACGCGAGGCCAACGCGAGGTGAAGGAGGCCATCGCGACGACCGTCACAAGAAGCTACGGCTGCATGTAGCTCCTGGCATTACTACTATAGCAAGATCTAGTAAGTAGCAAGGACGCTATTAGGGTGGCAAACAGAGTCAGCTCCAAGAGCCCAACAGAGTGGCCTGAAGTACCTTCGTTTCGGTGGCACTGGGGCCCCAAGTGTTTGGAAGGTCCAGCCAGTCATACCGAACCCGAGGAGGTAACCTCCTCTATTGGTCGGCGCAGTTCGTGGGACTCGTGTGTCTTCTCGTCCTGGTTGATGAACTTTGCCTTGTTGGCATCAGCTAAGGCTTCCTGGAGAACATCCGGAGGATCTCAGACATGGAAAATTATGGCACTGTGCGCCGGTGACTTTTACCAAAAGGACTTGCTAAATTGAAATCCAATTAACAAACTGTGCTTACTTCACCTGGAGAACGTCTTGAAGGTCATTTGGGGGTTCCAACCAATGTTTGTGGGACAAGGGTGCAAGTACCCGTCGTCCACAGGATTCCATGGAATTCCAAGCAGGTTGTGTGTGTGTGTGCGTTCTGATATTATGGCGATCGATGGCATTTTAACTGGACTCCTTGACGTCTCTTGCACGATACATTGTGGGTCTCCAGAATCTACACTCCCGAAAACTAACATAGACATACATAGACCGATAGACCCTGACGTCCTGGCCCCGGCCCGCAAGATTGTTTTCCTCTACCAACCAGTGGTTTTCAGGGTCCATGGGATCGTCTTCCAGAATCACATGTTACAACTCGGGGTGTCTCTCTGTATCTCATCGCAACGCGTTGCTTCGGCCGTGACCGGTCACGGACGGTTTGGCTCGTCCTCAATCAGGTAGTCGATGAAGTAGAAGCCCGGCTCAACGGTGATGACCTCGGACAGGACCGACTCCAGAAGCAAACAGAAAGCCCATGAAACCCATGTGTTGGGGTCTATCCGATATCCTATTCCGTGGTAATAATGGTGATAGTGGATGATGAGAGTTAGGTTGCAAGCCTTAATTCAAACATCAGGTATACTAAGACCTTTCTGACCGACGGATATACTGGCCATGCTGGGACAGAAATACATAGAAATACCAATTCAAGCCATGTGATTGGATCGGCCGAAGTGGGAGGAATACATGTGCTGCGCCGCGCTGCGCGATGATCTTTTTCATCAGAATCATTGAAGATCAAGAGGAGTGCGAGATCAGGTAAAGTGATGTGTGATTTGGACTACAGGCTACGAGTACATCTGCAGTAGGTCAACCAACCGTATGGCTATATTGGACTACGGGCTACGAGTACATCTATGTCAACCAACCGCATGGCTATAGTCGGCACCAACATCCACCAGCTCCAGCTGCGCCACGCACGCCCGTGTGCCACCCGCCTCAGATCGGCTGGAAATCCCCTGAGCACCCGTGCCATGTTCTCCTTCAGCACTCGCCCACACCGGAGATTCTCCTTGATGCTGGGATCATCCTGCACTTTCGCAGCGGCTTGCGCTCTTGCGCAGGTTTGCAGGGTGGGTGGTGTTGTGATCGAAAGAAAGGGGGTTCTATGGATGTTTGAGCGTGGTGGATTTCTGATCTGGCATATGGAGGTTATATATAATATGTTCAAAGTCACACCACGGAAGCAGCAAGGTTTCTCCAGAAGTTTGTCCAATTTTGTGATCCCTCCTTTCACCCTCCAAAAAGGTCTCGCACAAAAACCCAGGCGTCGCCTGGCGCCGTTCTCCAGGACCATAGCCACCCACGTCGTGCACGTCGAGGCCCAGCTGGTGACCCAAGCCGTGCGGCATGAAGTGGAACATCAAGCCTGCCGATCGAGTCGTGCCGAGCCTCGTGCTCTGCCCCGTTGCCCACGACAGTTGCGCGAAGTCTAAGACGGCGGACTGTACTGGCTCGAAGTGGCACGATGGCTCAACAGTGAGTCTGAATCTCAGCGTCGCAAGAAGCGTGAACTGGACATGAAGCACCTATTCCAGTCCCAGGTCGTGTCTGGTTGATGAGCCGTTCGTTGCTTGGACTCGGAGCCGGCCATTGGGGCACGCCGGCCACGTCGGCGGCGGCTCAGTGGCAGGGAGCCCTTGAGCCGGTGGACGCGGTTTGGTCTTGGTTCTGGCGGTTGTTGGTGCGGTTTTGGGTTGGGAGGTCCTTTGTTGGTGGGCAAAGGACTTAGAAAGTGTGCTGTCTGTTTCGTTGTCTAAAACGTCGGATCTACGTGGAGGTTTAGACTCAGCACCGAACGAATGAAGGAAAACGAAGGGCTTAGCTGCTTTGGTCCAGTTCATTGACAGCTAATCATTCGATCTAATTGGATCTAATTTGACAGCTGGTCACCATGAAATTATATAACTTCAAAAGTGCTCCAGTTTTATCCGTTTGCGCGCCAGCGAAGCTTTGATCTGCAGCCCGTAACTGGGCACATGGCCCGACATGTCTACTGTCGCCGCGTCCTATCGCCGTGCGCGAAAGCGCGGGCCGCGCGGGCCACGGGGGCGCTCGACTTCGCCTGCTGCCATCATGTCATCCACACTGCCAACCTCAGCAAAACAAGAAGGACCTGTGAAGGGAAACCCGGTTCCGAACAGCAACACTTCTGGACGCTTCCCCAGAATCTGAAAAGCCCCTCACTTGTTAATACCTGCTATGACAAAAAAGTCGGCTCTCAAGCTGGCACCATTCTGGAACAAGCCTTTGTTTCTGATTGGGACTGGGTTTCCAGGCACATCCGCAAACAAAGAACGATCATCCTTTGCAAACCCTTCATTGCAGGAATCTCTTGTGTACCTGATACTGTACCCCAGACGCTCCATGTATGCCATATTTGCCTACATTGGGGTGGTTTGGGGGGCATACATGGAGCGTCTGGGTACTGTCATGTAGTGTCCATCTTAGAATCTTGTGCAGTAGCGGGGCGAAGAGCGACGCGGCGGTCATGCGCTCCAGGAGGACGCGCTGCGACAAGCGGTGCATCTCCTGGAGGCAGTGGAGGCCGCGCGGTGGAACGTGGCAAGGAGGCGGAAGAGAGGCGTGGTGAGGTACGGTGTGGGTGAAAAGAGGTCCAAATTGCCATGTCCATGTCCGAGGTATTGAAACTGATTGAATGGAATCCACGGTGTATGACATTCACCACCAGCTACAGATCTTGATCACGTAGGACAGGTTAGGATGGTATACAGATTCTCAAACACCTCCCCTAAGGCTCCAAGTATCTCCTCAGAAAGTATTTGGATCCTCCAAACCCTCCCCAAACACCTTCTAGGAACGTACTTGGAGTCCTAAGGCTCATGACTTGGTGTGCAGTCTCTATTGGCGTTTCGGTGTCTTCATGTGTCTTCTGCCTGTGGTAACCCAACAAAGCTTGATGCGAGAACTTGGGTTGGCCACAGTCGCGAGTCAACCAGAAACAACTATATAGTTCTGGCCCTGGCTTAGAAACAACCCCCCAAGTAACAAATCCTGAACATATACCAGAACCTCTGGAGTCGAAAAGTAACCTTTTACAGGATTTTACAGGCCTGTTTTGTGACCTCAAACCAGGGGATCCAAAGGTCACTGGGTGGTCTCCCAGGTGCTTGTGAACAAATTCACATGTTGTTCGATATGACGAGAAGGATGAATCTTTGTCAGCTCCAGCCTGAAGCAACCATCGCACAACTTTCAAGTGGTTGCGTAGGGCTGCATCAATGAAAGGAGCTGTCGGAGTTGACCAATTTGGTGTTGCTGGTGTCAACTTCAGCATTGAGCAACAATTGTACAGCTTCCAAGTGGCCGTTCTGGGTTGCAAAAAGCAAAGCATTTGACCCATCCGCCGTTGTTGCATCTTTGTCAGCTCCAGCCTGAAGCAACAAGCGCACAACTTCCAAGTGGCCACTCTCGGCTGCAGCAAGCAAAGGGGTTGCCCTGCCCGTGTTTGCTGCATCTTTGTCAGCTCCAGCCTGCAGCAACAATCGCACAACTTCCAAGTGGCCACTCTCGGCTGCAGCAAACAAAGGGGTTGCCCTGCTGGTGTTTGCTGCATCTTTGTCAGCTCCGGCCTCCAGCAACAAGCGCACAACTTCCAAGTGGCCGCTCTCAGAGGCAACCATCAAAGCCGTTGCCCCATTTGTGTTTGCTGCATGTTTGTCAGCTCCTGCCTCCAGCAATAATTGCACAACTTCAAAGTGGCCACTCTCGGCTGCCACAAGCAAAGCTGTTGCCCTACTTCTATTTGCTGCATCTTTGTCAGCTCCAGCCTCAAGCAACAAGCGCACAACTTCCAAGTGACCACTCTCAGCTGCGATCATCAAAGCCGTTGCGCCAAGTCTGTTTGCTACATCTTTGTCAGCTCCAGCCTGAATCAACAATCGCACTACTTCCAAGTGGCCGCTTTCGGCTGCCATTATCAAAGCCGTTGCACCATATGTGTTGCTAACATCTTTGGAAGCTCTGGCGTCAAGCAACAATCGCACAACTCCAAAGTGGCCCTTCTCAGCTGCAACAAGCAATGGTGTTGCCCTACTTCTTTTTGCTGCATCTTTGTCAGCTCCAGTCTCAAGCAACAGGCGCACAACTTCCATGTGGCCACTTTCGGCTGCAAGCAACAAAGCCGTTGCACCATTTGCATTTGCTACATCCTTGTCAGCTCCAGCCTCTAGCAACACGCGCACAACTTCCATGTGGCCACTTTCAGCTCCAAGCAACAAAGCCGTTGCACCATTTGCATTTGGTACATCCTTGTCAGCTCCAGCCTCTAGCAACAAGCGCACAACTTCCAAGTGGCCGCTCTCAGCTGCAATCAC